CATCATTGATGACGTCATCATCAGTGGTGATGACGATGACGATGCGGATGCCGGTGACGTCATCAGTGATGATGACGATGACGATGTGGATGCCGGTGACGTCATCAGTGATGATGACGATGACGATGTGGATGCCGGTGACGTCATCAGTGATGATGACGATGACGATGTGGATGCCGGTGACGTCATCAGTGATGATGACGATGACGATGTGGATGCCGGTGACGTTACCGACATCCGCATCGTCATCGTCATCATCACTGATGACGTCATCAGTGACGTCACTGATGTCGTCACCGGCATCCGCATCGTCATCGTCATCATCACTGATGACGTCGTCAGCGACGTCACTGATGACGTTACCGACATTCGCATCGTCATCGTCATCATCACTGGTGAAGTCATCAGTGACGTCACTAATGACGTCATCGGTACCCGCATCGTCATCGTCACTGATGACATCATCAGTGACGTCAGCGATGACATCATCGGCATTGGGGGTCATGTGACCCCCAAGGTCACGTGACCCCCCAAGGTCACGTGACCCCCCAAGGTCACGTGACCCCCCCCCTGGTTAGTCTAACCCCCCCCCCCCCAGCGCCCTTCCCTACTCCTCCTCAAGAGCTGCGCTCTAATTCGGCGTTACAGGGAGTTGTAAGCGGCTTTCACTTTTTTAATATTTTTATTTGTTGTGGCCTGTACTGCGCGAAAGGGAACGCTTTGTTTCCGTGTGTTCAGACATGCTTAGTTCAAAGCAAAATGAAATCTTAAAACAGCCTGAAAATACGACAAGGTTTTGACGATTGTCGTCGATGAAATCTTTGTTTCGCTCTGAATCCCGAAGAATACGCGAGATTTCTTTTATATTTTAGGATAGTCTATGTGTAATTCAGTGAGACAACATTTATTTCCCCAAACAGGCCCCTACAAACAATGTTGTGGTGAAAGAAACATGCAGGAGACGGACGTTCCAAAACAACGTTCTATTTCAGTCGTGTCTCGTCAGGAACTGCTCTTCATGAGCGCGTGAGCGCGTGAGCGTATAGCTAGCGCGCGCGTCTTTTTCTCTTTTTTCCTGTGCCGAGACTGGACTCGCTTGTCGGTGCGTCCAGTCCCTACAAATATGCCCCCCCTTAGAAAGGAGGTAGGACGAACGATCAAAGCACACAAACATTCGAGTGCCAACGAAGTTGGCTTTTCTCTGTCGTCTGGTCGATGTCACGTAGCGCTATTACCTGCACATGCGCTTGCTCAATATGTGCCGGCTTTAGTCTCTCCAATGCAACGGTGTCATTCTTGCCGTTGACATGCAGGACAAACGTGTCGCTTCTCTTTTCGACCACTGGAAAAGGTCCGATGTAATGTGGGCGCAGTGGCTTCTTTTGCGACTGTCGTACGAAAGCATGAGTGGCGTCTTGGAGGTCTTGGGTCACGTAGGGAGACTTTGAAGTTCCTTGCCGTGTAGGCACCGGTCGCAAGTTGATAAAAATGTGCTTGAGTTCTTCTACATAGTCCAACTGCCGTTGTTGTTGAGGCAGTTCCATTTAAAAAAAAAAATCTGATGCCAAGTGAAGTGCAGTGCCGTACACAAGTTCGGCGGTGGAGCATCCGATGTCCGCCTTCAAGGCTGTCCGGATTCCAAGAAGCGCAAGGGGGAGATGACGAACCCAATCCGAGGGACCACACTGAGCTGTAAGGGCGGATTTCAAATGTCGATGAAATCGTTCTACCATCCCGTTGGACTGTGGGTGGTAGGCAGTCGTTCTCAAACGGTTGGTTCCGAGCAATCGAGTGAGCTCGGCAAAGAGTGCCGATTCAAATTGTCGACCCCTGTCGGTGACAATCTCTGAGGGGCGTCCAAACCGGGACACCCACGTAACGATAAACGCCTCAGCGACGGTAGCGGCGGTGATATCGGGCAGTGGGGTTGCCTCTGGCCATCGTGTGAATCTGTCGACACACGTTAGGATGTAGCCAACGTTACTAAAACACTCAGTTGGGAAACTCGCCGTCGAAACCTGGGCCGCTGGCGTCCACCGAGACCGAGCTAAATGCGACAACAGCGCCACTCTTTATCATTTGTCTGTACTGTGGTCACCTTGAGCTTTTTGAAAGCCTGTTTTTGCGTAAAAACAAACGAAAAAGACTCTTTTTGTATGAAATTTATTGGAGTTTAGTAGAAAAAAAAGGGCGCATTATGTTTTTAAAATCTTTAGTTTGCAGGGTTTTGCGGCACAATCAATATTGTTTCTATACAACCATGCCTCAGCGGGCCTTTCAGGTAGCACGTCCTGCCCTAGGTGCATTTTAACTTCAGTAGTCGAACGCGGCGCGTCCGCCGGGGAGACGGGGGTGGCACCCCTGTAACCTCTACCGCTGTATCTGTTCTTAAAGCCAAAATAGAAGTCACGTGCAGTTCCTCGAGTGGCCGCTGCGGGAGAAATGGTGGCGTTGTGTTCGTCATTAGCTCGGTGCTCGGAGACAGTTTGGGGCCACTTTTTCAAAGGTGCCTCTATGGGAGTTTCCCAACTGAGTGTTTTAGTAACGTTGGATGTAGCGCTGTCCCTGAGAAATGGGTAGGGGTCCTACTAAGTCCAGATGTATCTTGTTGAAACGGCTGTCAGGCTGTAGGAATTGTCGACTTGGTGGTACCGGATGCCGCTGTACTTTCGCGCACTGGCATGCGATGCAGGATCGCACCCATTCACGAACGTCGGATTTTATCCGGGGCCAAACGTAGCGGTCGCACAGGAGCTTCTGGGATGCTCGTATACCCGGGTGCGACAAGCAGTGAATCGCTTCGAAAAGCTGTCGTCGCAGTTCACGTGGTACAAAAGGCCTAGGCGTTCCCGTTGACAGGTCGCAGATCACGGTGGTGCTTTCTGGAAAGCTTACATCCCGCATTTGCAGTGACGTGGATGAACTGCGCAGGGCTTGCAATTCTTCGTCGGTGGTCTGTAGACCAGCCAGCAACTCCAAGTCTACAGCAGAACAGGCTGGGGTGTTCACGGCGTCGATCCGGCTGAGGACATCAGCGGGGACGTTGTCAACTCCTTTAACGTGTCGAATGTCCGTTGTGAATTCGGCCAAGAAGGCTAGCTGGCGAATCTCACGTGGTGTGTAATGAGACCCGGAATTGCTGATGGCGTAAGTTAAGGGCTTGTGGTCAGTCCATATGGTAAATGGCCGTCCCTCGACGAAATGTCGAATGTGTCGTACAGCCAAATAGTCAGCCAATAGCTCACGTCCGAAAACGCTGTAGCGCGTTTGCGCTGGCTTGAGCTTCTTAGAAAAGAAACCAATCGGCCGCCACTCTCCGTCGACTTTTTGTTGTAGCACCGCTCCTACGGCTGTGACAGATGCGTCAGTCATCAGCGTTGTTGGGGCATCATGCTTAGGATGTACTAGCATTGTTGCTTCTGCAAGTGAGTTCTTTACCTCGCCGAAAGCGCGTTCCGCATCTTCGTTCCAAGGAAGGGATGACGTTTTTCGCTCTTGTTTCGTTAGGAGGACCTCAAGATGTTCGAGCAGTTTGGCGCAGTTGGGAACGAAACGTCGGTAAAAATTTACGAAACCGAGAAACTGGCGAAGTTTGGTGGTCGAAATCGGCCTCGGGAAATCTTTGATGACCTGTACCTTTGATGGCAATGGACGGATGCCCGAGGAGTCAAGCCGATGACCAAGAAATTCCAATTCCGGAACTCCGAACACAATTTTCGCGGCGTTGATGACAATGCCGTGGCTGCGCAGTCGTTCGAAAAGGAGGTCTAAGTGGGTTGTGTGGTCTTCCGGTGACTTGCTGGCTATGAGAAAATCGTCCACATATGCGAAGACGAAAGGTAACCCTCGTCTGACAGCGTCGATGAACCGTTGGAATGACTGAGCCGCATTTCTGAGGCCAAAGGGCATGCGGAGAAATTCAAAAAGTTAAAACGGTGTCGTGATCGCTGTTTTCGGGATGTCTTCCTCCGCCACGGGAATTTGGTGGTAGGCCCGCGTCAGGTCAATCTTTGAGAAGATCTTCGCGCCTTGTAGGTTCACCGTGAAATCCTGGATGTTAGGTAGAGGGTACCTGTCCGGTACAGTGTTCTTATTTAGGGCACGATAATCGCCACACGGCCGCCAGTCTCCATTTTTCTTCGACACCGTGTGTAATGGAGACGCCCAGCTGCTAGACAAGGGTCGGATGATGCCAAGGTCCAACATGTGTTCAAACTCTTGGCGAGCATCGCGGAGTTTCTCTGGGGCTAGACGGCGGGGACGACCGTAAACAGGTGGTCCTGTCGCCACGATGTGGTGTTGTACGTCGTGCGAGACGGGTTTGGTCCAATCAGGTGACTGAGTAAGGCTCGGAAACTTACTCAGCGATGTCTTGAACGCTTCTTCCGGGATCGTGCAGGCAGAGGTGTAGACTGCATTGTCGTCCGTTGCGATACCATGGATGGAAAGTCGCGTGGTGGAGTCTATCAGTCGCCTGCTTCTAACATCCACGAGGAGCTTGTAGTGGTTGAGAAAGTCCGCGCCGAGAATTCCTTGACTGACGTCGGCCACCAGGAAGATCCACCGGAAAACCCGCCGGAGGCCGAGGTTAAGGGTGATCGACCGTCCTCGGTAGACTGGGATCGCGTTGTTGTTCACTGCGCGCAGAAAATAGATCGGTCTCAAGGAACGGTCGGCACGCGTTGCTGGAACTGCGCTGATCTCGGCTCCGGTGTCGACGAGGTACCGGTTCTTGGTGGCTCGGTCACACACGTAGAAAAGGCGACTTCCGTCGAGGCCCTGACCACTCGTCGCCTCTAGAGGTCGGCCGGCCTGTTTCCCTGCCATGAACAGGGGCGGAGGCAATGCCGGGCGTTGGCACCGAAGCGGCGGTGGTAGTAGCAGACCCCGGAAGGGCTCGGTGATCGCGTGTTTTCGCCGCGTGTCCGGCGATATGTCGATTCGCCGCGTGCCCGGCAAGACGTCGAACGTCTGCGACGTGTTTCACGAGGGTGGGGGACGCGGCCTTGTGTAGCTGCGACGACGATCTCCTCTAAACGTCGGCAAAGCTTCTCGATGTTGGCCTGGGGAGGCTGGCTGTTGGCGGCCGATGCAGAGTACAGGGCTGTTGGTTGCTGTGGAGCCACGGTAACATTGGCGACGGATGGAGTGGTCACCTCCATCACGGCGTCGGCCGGCGCGGCAAGTCCGGTGAGGTCCAACGTTGTTGCTGTTGCCAAAACCATCTGGACATTGGAAGGTAGCCTTTGCAAGAACAGCTCGCGGAGGAATACGTCGTCCATATTGTTAGCGCGCTCTCCAAGAAGCTGGGTCATGCGTCGCAGCAACTGGCTTGGCCGCCGGTCACCGAGCTCTTCCGCCCAGAGAAGCTGCTGCACGCGGGAACGTTCCGAAACCTCGGTGCCCTGGAGCAGAGCATTCTTCAGTTGGTCATACGGTGTTGCTGGACAGGGATTTGCCAGAACGTCGTAGACTTCGTCGGCGGCAGCTGGTGAAGGAGCCGAGACGACGTGGTGGTACTTCCGACCTTGTGTGGTGACCCCAGCGAGGTGAAATTGTGATTCCGCTTGCAGGAACCAAACTCGCTGATTGCGGACCCAGTACGGTGGAAGGCGGACTGCGGCTGCTGCAACAGTGGGTGGCGGCGGGCCCGAAGGCTCTCCTTGCTGCATTTCACCCGTTCTAGTTGGCGATCACGTCCGGGTCACCAAATGTGGTGCAAGAAACAGGCAGGAGACGGACGTTCCAAAACAACGTTCTATTTCAGTGGTGTCTCGTCAGGAACTGCTCTTCGTGAGCGCGTGAGCGTATAGCTATCGCGCGCGTCTTTTTCTCTTTTTTCCTGTGCCGAGCCTGGACTCGCTTGTCGATGCGTCCAGTCCCTACAATGTTAAAAATAAATATGATGTTTTTTTTTTTTTTTTTTTTAGATTGAGGTTTAGTATATTACATCCAAATTAATGCCACGTAGAAAACATGTGTTTGCTTTCCAAATTATATGAAAAATTATGTTTGCATTTTTATTCATATTGGGAAATACGTAGAATGCCGCCTTTTTTTATCTTGATCAAGTTAAACTGGCCTACAAAAGGCAGTTTTTTATTTTATGCTTTACAGTTTTTTTTTAGCCAGCAGAATGAAAGAAGGAGTGACTGCTTAGTATTAGAGTGCGAAGCATGACATAAAACAGCGACGGCCGTCGCGGTTCTTTTACACTTAAGCCTTTGCGATGCTTGAATAAATGTGAAGCCTAAACTATTGGGAAACATAACCTATAACCTTTTCAATGTAACTAAGTATACTTTTTTCAAATATTTTTTTACAAGCTTTTTTTTTAGAAAATGTATACAAAACATGCAAATACGTCAGAGGGGACAATTATGCAGGTAACTACTGTAAACGACTTGTTTTTCGCGGGGTCAATATTTCGCGATTTAGGTGAAAGTTGAAGTTTTGGAATTATTCGCGGGTTCTAAATTTCGCGACGAAGTGGGTTTTCAATATAGATTCCAATCTATTTACATATTTCCAGAATTGTTCGCGGAACCTATTTTACCCGAATTGTAAGCGATTCGCGAAATTCGCAAAAATTAGGTCCTCGCGAAATATAAGTCGTTTAAAGTATTTAATAGATTTTCGAGACTATCATGTTGAAGTTCAACTACACATAAATCATGTACTTACCTTTCGATAACTCAAATTATGTTTTTAGCAATAGTAGTCCGCCACATTGCCTCACTTGAATGAATTCGATGAATTCGGTGACGTACTAAGTTACACTATTCGACGAGGAATGTGTAGAGCTAGGTATGAAAAATTGAAAGCCACGCTATCTGCGAAGCCCGATGGTATACCATCTGCAATCCTCAAAACGTTTCATGATATACTTACACCTACACTATGTGCAATAATTAACAACTCATTAAGGTCAGGAGCATTCCCCGAAATGTGGAAGATTGCCGAGGTCGTTCCGGTTCTGAAGTCGGGAAAGAAGGGTGATGTTCTCGACTATTAGACCGATTTCTATTCTCTCTTCATTTTCCAAACCCCTTGAAACAGTCATTCATCAATTCTTGTCTTTCAAATTTTTAAATTTAACCCTCTTTAATCAGCATGGGTTTATGACCGGCAGATCGCCGACAACAAATCTTGTAAGTTTTATGTCGACGGCATCCCAGGTAGTCTGCAACAGAGGTCAGCTAGACGTGGTCTACTTTGACCTAAGCAAGGCTTTTGACGTTGTAAATCATACAATCCTTTTATCAAAGCTTTCCGCCTACGGGGTTTGTGGCACAGTATACGACTGGTTTTAAAGCTATTTGTCAAGCAGGAAAGCGGAAGTTCGAGTCACCAATATGAACTCTTCATTGTACGGGGCAAGTTCTGGCGTTCCTCAGGGATCCGTCCTATAGGAGCGCTCCTGTTCACAGTTTCCGTAAATGATGTCTCTGATGCTATTTCTAATTCTTCGTTCCTGCAATATGCTGATGACGTTAAAATTTACACAGAAATAGTTACTTTAGATGATTGCGCTAGGCTTCAGGAAGATGAATGTTTTTCCTTTAGGCGTTGCTCAGCCAATAATTTTCTTTTAAACCGTGCTAAAACCACGGTTATGACATTTACTCGGATGGCGCAAAATACATTTTTCACATATAGTTTTCATGGTGAACCGCTGTCCCGGGTATGTGCAATGAAAGGATCTGAGAGTTATGTTCGATCCTAGCTTGCGATTCTCTAGTCACGTAACTAGGCTCGTTAACTCGTCTCTGCGCACGCTGGGCGTTGCCTCTCGCTTAACGAAGGACTTCAAGCATCCTTCTGCGTTTCTCACGTTGTACCACTCGTTATGCATGCCCCAGTTACAATATGCCCCAGTCGTGTGGAACGGAATTTCTAAAACTAATTCATTGGAGATCGAACATGTTGTGAAAAAGTTTATTTCCATCTTTAGACATCGCTACCTTATGAAGGATATTCGTTGTTTAACTTATGACGCAACGTTAGAGCGTGTTGACTCGCTAATCCTGCAGCGGCGTCGGCAGAAGGCAGACCTATTGTTTTCGTATAAAACGTTGCATGGCTCGATAGATTCACCAAGCATCTTGTCTGAAGTATGCCTTAGGGTTCCACGTGTGCCTACTCGGAATCAATCATCAATTTATATTAAAAAAATTGTTTCTTAAGCCCAATTATTAGACTGACTGAGTGTTATAATCAGTACTCTGAGAAACTCGATATTTTTTTCAGGGCATTTGTTATTCCTATTGAAGACCTGTCGGGCGGGTGAATAATGATTGTGGTTCACTTTAAAATTGATTTTGGAGAGCACAGACGTTGTTGGGTCTGTCCTTGTGCTACTGCTTTCATATTATTCGCTTTGAGTGCCTCTCAAACTTGTTTTTTTACATTATTCCAATTTCTCATCATTGTATACAAGATCTACAAATTGTATTTTGTTATCATTCATCTCACTGTATGTCGTGTATGATTATATGCAATTACTGTATAGTGCATCGCTCTTCTGTATTTGCGTGTTTTATGTATTCCTTTCCATCCAGTGTGCCAGTACCAAGACTGCAAGGTTGCTCCCTGAACACTAGAAAAATAAACATTGATGGATTGATTGATCGATTGATTATTATTATTTTGAACCAACCCGTCCAAAACCAGAATTATGACACTCTTTCGGAAAACTCACAATACACGAACTCAGCTCTGTTACGTCACGGCGCGGTGGTGGCTTGTCGGGCGCACTTCCGGTCTGGGGCTGTGGGCGGAAGTCACCATGCGGGACATGCATTCCTGTGTTGTTTTCAAAGAAACCGCACACAAACTTGCCTTCTCGTCAAAACGCCGTGACTGGGGCTGTACCCCCAAAATCGGGAAAGGTTTGAAGGTCAGTTTTCATGTGTTTTCTGCCTGCTCGGTTTGTCCGAGAACGTTGATAGGTGTCATGAAAAATAAAACCAGACACCATCGGACCACGATTGCTTGTGCGGGGAACACTTTGGGTTGAATTTACGGTTACTTGTGGTTGTCAGATTTATTTGTTTTCTTCCAACATGAATGTGGTAAAACCGCCTAGTTGTACGGACCACCTGCGGACTACGTTCAGTGCATTTTCAAGCTAAAACAGCTGCCTGATCGTTCGAACTGTCGTCTGCTCTTTCTAACGTTTCTGCTTGTTGTCGTCTGCTCGTTTAAATGACGGTGGCCCATAGACCAAACTTTGACCCGGTAATTGCGATAAGAAGTGCAGGCCTTAAAATATTTTTATTAAGTTTGAAGGTGGGCTGGCGTAAGTAGGCTCGGTGTAAACAGTAGATAGAAGGATCATTGTATAACCAGTGGCCATCACCGACTTGTTACGCCTGATTCACATGGTCCGATTCTGCTTGCGATTTTCAGTATCAACGTCGACCATCGAATCTCCGGTCCATGCATTTGCAGCCCAAGCGACGTCGCGACTGAAAATAGCGAGTTTAGTCTTATCATGCTAATCATGCTTTAGCGTCCATTCTGCGGCTTCCACGCGGTATGAATCACCGCATGTCACATTATCCACGCGACGTTTTGCGGTGTAACGTGCCTTGTTAATTTCGCTAAAGCCGCTTAAGTAATCAAACATTGCCAGAAAGACGCGGAATCAACAATTTCAACGCGAAGAAGAGCACGGGGACTCACATTGACACTTGCAACATCGCCTTCCAATGGTTTGTTTATGAGCCACGGCGAGCTTCTTGCTCAAACTCCATTGCGCATGCGCGGCGCAGATGGCGTCCGCTTGTGGCGCTCGGGTTTGTTTGTAAGCATGAGTTGGGCTATATATCTTTTGCATATAACATTCATGGGGAGACTTTGTCTCCAGTAAGTGTAGCGAATGATGTCGGAGTCATGGTTGATTTTGGCTTGCGTTCCTCTGATGACGTTGCTAGCTGGTTAACTCGTCCTTGCGAATATTGGGTGTTGCCTCTCCCTTAACCAGGGATCTCATAAACCCGACTGCTTTTATCACGTTGTGCTGTTTATTATCCAGGTTGCAGCTAGAATATGCCTCAGTTGTCGGGAATGGAATCTCTAAAACTCACTCCTTCGAAATCGAACGAGGGTAAAAAAAAAAAAAGAAAAAAAAAGATTTGTTTCTATCTTTAAACATCGCTACATTAAGGAGGGTGTTTACTGTTTAACATACGAGGCTGCGTTAGAGCGTGTTGGTCTGCCTAGCGTGCACCGGCGTCGGGAAAACGCGGACTTACTACTCTCGTTTAAAATGGTGCATGGCCTCATGAATTCTCCGAGCCTGTTATCTGAACTGTGCTTCAAGATTCCACGTGTGCCTACTCGGCTTCAGTCATCCTTTTATGTTCCCGAAACTTTGAGTCCGGTAAACCCAATTGTTAGAATGGCAACCGTTTGAACCATTTCTGCTAAACTTGGATATTTTCCATCCATGCTACAGGACGTTTGTCCTTTCTATTAAAAACTTGCCCATGCAAGTTCAGCATTGCTGAATGGCGCTGATACGACCGCATTTCATCATCTACATGAAGTGCATTTTGGTGGTGCACTCGTTTGTCCTATGGTCTTGTGTTCCGTGTCTGCTGTTACTGCCTCGTATTTTGTGTTTTATTTTACTTTTACCCCTGTACCGCCTAGTACTATGCTTAAC